AACAATATAAGGGACCCATGGGATAATATAAAGCGTGCCAATCTACGCATAATAGGGGTTCCAGAAAGGGAAGAAAGAACAAAGGGGACTGAAAAGGTATTTGAAGAAACCATGACTGAAAACTTCCCAAACCTAAAGAAAGAATCAGATATCCAAGTACAGGAGGCTCAGAGGGTCCTAAAAAAGGATGAACCCAAACAGACCCACACCAAGACACATCATAATCAAGATGGCCAGAGTCAAGGATAAAGAAAGGATCCTAAAGGCAGCAAGAGAAAAATAAAGAGCGAGTTACAAGGGAACCCCCCATAAGGCTCTCAGCTGATTTCTCTACACAAACACGACAGGCCAGAAGGGAGTGGCAAGATATATTCCAAGTCCTGAATGAAAAAAAGATGCAGCCAAGGATACTCTATCCAGCAAGGCTATCCTTTAGGATAGAAGGAGAGATAAAGAACTTCACAGACAAGCAAAAACTTAAAGAGTTTAGCAACACTAAACCCATGCTAAAAGAAATAATGACAGGTCTACTCTAAATAGAAAAGAAGCAGGATGCTACAAAAATGAGAAACTTATAACTGGAAAGGAGTTAACTGTCATGAATTACAAAAAGAATAAACACAAAATTGTAAAAGAAGACATCTAAATCATTAAGAGTTGGAGAGGGAAGCAAGGAAAGCCACTGTGGAAAACAGTATGGAGATTCCTCAAAAGAATAGGAATAGACTTACCATGTGACCCAGGAATCCCACTCCTGGGCATATATCCAGAAGGAACCCTACTTCAAAATGACACCTGCACTCCAATGTTCATAGCAGCACTATTTACAATAGCCAAGACATGGAAGCAGCCTAGATGTCCACCAACAGATAACTGAGTAAAGAAGATGTGGTATATATATATATACGATGGAATACTATTCAGCCACAAAAACTGACAACATAAAGCCATTTGCAGCAACATGGATGTTCCTAGAGAATGTCATTCAAAGTGAAGTAAGCCAGAAAGAGAAAGAAAAATACCATAAGAGATCGCTTATATGTTTTCATTTTGTAATGCATCTGTCCCTCAGTTTCATTTAATAGACTCACCAGAATATCAGAAGAAAAAAGCCAGAAACATTATTTACTGAGAAGCCTTATCTCTCCTCTTTCTATTCTACCCAGATTTCCCAGTAAGATTTCAAACAGTAGCGCAACCAACGCCCACCCTGCCACTGCCACATCTGAGTACCCCTGCCTTTGGATGCATCGTCCTTTAGCATTTTATACATGCATGGGTACACGGGCCTCATTTTTAAAAAAAATTATGTGATTGTGGTTATATAAGCTGCTTTATAATCTGAAAAACACTTAACATGGATACAGAAAAAATAGAGTTGTGCCAATTCCACTGAGTAGCTTCTAATTCCTATTTGCACCAATACATAACCACACGTGTAAGAGCTTTTCCTCTGCTCAGGCAGAACTGACCTATCTGCACTTCTCCAACAAATACACAGACGTTCACTGTTAGGAAGGGGGAGGTCAAGTACAGTGGTTTATAGTAGCAGATGCATGATGAGCCTGGGAATGTCCACTGTGTACACATCAAACAGAGGGCAGTCGGGATGGTGACAAAGGGGACCAGCTCTGTTGGGTAGCATATTTAGCTTAAAATGACAATTTTATAAGGACCATATTAGAACAAGCCACTAATGACTCAGAGGGCTGATGGGGGGAATTCAGAGAGCTAGGGACCTCCTGAAATGGTACCTAGAATTCTGTGTGCTAGTAGACATTTTTCCACAGATTTAATTAGGTTGTCATTTGGGGGCATGACTACCAAAAGGTTAATTAAGAACTACTGATTTAAACCAAGACATAGTGGGGAACAAACTCTAGCCCTAAAAACATCATCTCTGAACCTCAGCCATTACCACTGTCCTCTGAAAAGTAAATGCTCATAATAGAAACAAAGGCAGTATTACATGTAATATGACTATGACCAGGTTGGACATTATGAGATTCTTCATGATCAAGTCAGACTAGATGTTCTAGTTTTAGCCCTGTAACTTGGAGACATTTCTTGTGGATTCCCAGGGCAACTGTAAAAGAGTAGACTTAAAAGGCTTTTAGTGACACTCTCCAAACCAAACTGACACCGCCACCATCTCCATTTCACCACCCAAGGGCAAATGTATATTATCACTGGTGTTGCACCTCAATGTTCATAGCAGCACTATTTACATTAGCCAAGACATAGAAACAACCTAAATGTCCATCGACAGATGACTGGATAAAGAAGTTGTGGTATATTTATACAATGGAATACTACTCAGCCATAAAAAAGATAAAATAATGCCATTTGCAGCTACATGGATGGCCCTGGAGAATATCATTTAAAGTGAAGTAAGCCAGAAAGAGAAAGAAAAATACCTTATGATATAATGCATATGTGGAATCTAAAAAAAAAGACAAATCAATGTATATATAAACAGAAACAGACTCACACACATAGAATATAGACTTGTGGTTGCCAGTGGGGAGCTGGGTGGGAAGGGATAAACTGGGAGTTTGAGATTTGCAGACACTGACTGGTATATATAAAATAGATAAACAAGTTTATACAGTATAGCACAGGGAAATATATTCAATATCTTATAGTAGCTCACTGTGGAAAAGAATATGAAAATGAATACATGTACATTCATTTATGACTGAAGAATTGTGCTGTACACCAGAAATTGATGCAACATTGTAAACTGACTAAACCTCAATTAAAAAAACAACAACAACAACAAAGTAAGACTGTCAATGAATCAGTACACTCTTATTAAAATGCAAAAAAAAAACCCAGAACCCTGAAATATAAGTATGACTTGACAAAAGTCTTGTCTAACCCTAAGCTTAACCATACCAAATGGACTAGAAACAAAGAGAAGTATACTATAAAAAAGCCTTTGGTTATTTAAATCTGGAACATTAAGAAGGAAATTATGATATACTTAGATACAAATGACAAAGAACTTTGTACAAAAATTTAACAAAGTTACATGATATTCAGAGAAACTGACAGCTTTAAATATACTTATTGGAAAGCAATGAAAGATTGAAGCAAATGAACTTAGTATTAAAAGAAAAGCAGCAGAGTAAACCCAAGGAAAGAAATAATAAAGGGCAGAATAGAGAGTAGAAAGACAACAGAAACCACTGAAAGCAAAAACTTTTTCTTTGAGGAAAATCAGTAATGCAGGCAAACCTCTGGCAAGTCTGACCAAGAGAGAAAAAAAGACGTAATTAAAAAAATTTAGAATGAAAAGAGAATTATACAAAAAAACCCCTAAATAAATAAATAAATAAACAGTACACATAAAATTCCATATGTATGATTTCAAAAACCTAGGCAAAATTGACAAATTTCTGCCAACATTGGCACAACGCTGACCAAGAAACTACAGTTCAATAACTGAAAAAAATTAAAATGGTAATTCCAGGCTTAAACAATTTTACTTGACTTTCAAGAAAAGATAATCCCTTGTAAATTGCTGGCATTAGAAAAAGATGGAAAGGTGACCAAATCATCTTATGAGACTAATGCACCTTGATTCCAAACAAATGTATGGGCCCATTTTTCACTTACGGATACATATTATAAACTTCAATAAAATAGTGACCAAATGATTCCAGGGAGGTATTTTTAAAAGAATAAATTGTGATCAATAAGATTTATCCCAAGAATGCAAGGATGGTTAAATGTGAGAAAAGCTAACATTACAGTTCACTACTTATATGGTCTAAAGGAAAGAAATCACATGATTATCTCACAGACTCAGAAAAAGTATTTGAAAAAGTACAATATCTACATCTGATTTTAAAAAAGTCAGAAAATTAGGAAAAGCAGAGAAATTCCTTAACTTGATAAATAAAAACATATAGTAAGCATCATATTTAATGAAGAGACTACAAAAGCATTCCCTTTAAAATCTGATATAGGATAACGATGCCACCACCATCACTTCTGCTTAACCCAGGACTGGAGAGCATAGTTATAAGACAGGGAAAAGAAATAAAAGATAAAAGGATTGGAAGAGAAGTAACAAAACTGCTACTTCTTTGCAGATATTATCATCAATAGCTAAACACTAGAATATGAGACTTCAACATGGTTGCTGAATCAGACCAATTAAAGAAATTAATACTGAGACCTTGTGCTCAGTAAAGGCTAGTTCTCTTCCTTTTCTGTTCGGGATGCTGTACTTTTTTTGGCCTCAGTTCTCCTCTAATTCTCCATTCTTATTCAAGACCATTTTTTTCCTTTCCACTGTTTGCCACAGCTCGGTCTTTAGTCCACAGCCCTTTATTTATATATTTAAAAAAACCCTGATGACCCTCCAATTTGTCTCCAGGCTTGCCTTCACATCCAAGTTCCAGCTCTGTACTTCCATCTGTCCAACGTTCTGTCAGACTCCTATTCATCATACCCACTACCTGCTTCTGAAACTAATGACCCCCCTGCCCACTCCTCATTGTCAACTGGATTAGTGCCATTATCATCACTCTCAGTGTTGCCCAGACATGAAATCTGTGACTTGTATTTTTCCCTTCCCTGAAGACAGTGGGCATTCAATAAATGTTTGTTAAAGATCTGCCAGTGTTTTCTTTAACTTATCTTCCCATTTTCACTATTTAAGGCTTAATCCATAGCCTCATTCCCATGTTTATTAGATCAGTACAGCAGCCTGCTACATTCTTCCTAGCTCGCAAGGGTTCCATTATTCAAGTAGACCAGTGGTTGGCCCTTTTCTGTAGAGTCTAATGTTAAAATCTAACTGCCGTGGTAGTGTGTAAGCAGTTGCAAATAACCCTTAGACATATGGGTGTGGCTGTATTCCAATAAGACATTATTTCCACAAACAGGTGGGGGTCCAAATTTGGTCCAAGGGCCACAGTTTGCTGACCTCTGAAGTAGATTACCAAGGTTCTTCAAACCAAACCTTCTCTTATCCCTGCTAATGCAATATAGAATCCAATTACCCAGGTAAAAGAAAGTCTAATTTATTTTCTTTTTTACATACCATAGTGGTTGCCAGCTGGAAATTAAAATTAATTACTTAGGTATTTGCTCATTACTTTCAAGACCTTATTTTCCCTTTAAATTTACAGACCTTGTAAGAATAATTTACTGGAAATTACATCAATAATACTGTAAAGGCTTTGATCTAAGCAGAACAAATTGGAAGAGTTGGCAGCCAAGTAATCTTCCTGTCTTTTATGGAAGAATCTATCAGGAATGATAGAAGCTGCCAATAAAATACTTTGATTCAATGAAGTGGATTAAGATGACATTGATGGGCTTTTGATTTCAATAAGCGGGAAAAGCTCAGAATTCTGCTAGCTATAGGGAAAAATGGCAACTTGTCCCCTCTAGACTTTGAAATGAAACTTGATTATAAATAGGGAATGAAGACATAATGCAGAGTGGCAGCTCAGAAGCATCCTATTGTTCTGGACTTAACAGCAGTCATTCTTTTTCCCAAATTCAAATGGGATACAGACATCCCCAAGTTACTATCCATTGATCCATCCATCGATACATCCATCCACCCTCCATTGGCTATCTAATTTCCCTTGCACTCATTTACAAACATGGAAAGAACCAGGATTTATGAAATAAACAATAAATTCATTTTTCCCCCCTCAGTGAAGGTACTGGGGATTGAACCTAGGACCTCAGGCACACCAAGCATGTGCTCTACGACTAAGCTATATCCCCATCCCAATAAATGCTTCACAAATACCTAAAATTGAATAAGTAATACATTTACAGCAATACTTATGCACTTAGCTTCTTGCCAATATGACCGTCAATGAATGATGAACTTAAGACCTTCTAATCACTTCAGTCTACATATTCAGATAAAATCCAAATTTCTCATCCTGGCCTATCAAGTCCTCCATGGCCTGGCCTCCGCTAACCTCTTGAACATCTCCTGATCATACTCAGTATGCTGCAATCACCACCGTCTTCTTTGCTCAGCAGACATGCCCAGCTTGTTCAGGCATCAGGAGCCCTTCATCTGCCATGTCTCTGTAATGCTTTGCCCACACAGCTCTCCGTGCCTCATTTCTCCAGGTCTCAGTTGCAACGAGATCACCCCCAGAAGCTTTCTCTGACCATCCAGTTTAAACTAATCTCCATCAATCTGTACATAACCCTGCTTTGTTGTTTTTAGTACTTGTGTCACGACCTGGAATTACTTCTCTCATTTATTTTCTGCACGCCATCCTCCCTCAGTACATCAACTGAAAGTAGATCCACGAGCAGGGACCTGGTCTGTGGGTCAGCAGTGAATCTTCTTACATGAGTGCTTGACACATAGCAGGCCCTTAGTAAATTTTGAGTAATTTAATATCTGCTGTAAACAAGTGACCATCTCTGTCACACACATCAAGCTATGGTTATTACAAGTACTAGGAAATCTCAGAATCCTAGAGGTGACCCTAAAGGCAGCAGGATCCTACCGGGGAACTAGGATCCTCAATGTTTGGACATGAATAATCTAACTTTGCTGAAGAGCAGAACAGCAAGTTTTAGGTAAGCAAGATGAAAAAGCTCTAGAAATCTGATGTACAATGCTGTCCTTACAGTCAATAGTAATGTATTGTACAGTTAACATTTTATTAAGAGGGTAGATCTCATGGGAAGTGTTCTTACCACAGTAAAATAAAATTAAAAAAAAAAAACCAAAAAACTGTAGACACTAAATTAGAGTTAAAAACAGCTGATTCTACTCTGGATACATTCTGAATTTGGGCTAAATAACCAAAAAAAGGTGAGCTGTCAAAAGAGAATGGAGAATTACCTGGGGGTGTGTGGTGAGCAAGGAGGATCCAGAGACGTAGGACACTTTCTCATAATGGGACTGGATAATCCAGTTGGAGCTTCCAAGGGCGTAGCCAGAGCTTAGAGGGGTCACCTGGACCGCACCAAAAAGCTCCTAGGAGAAAACCACAGTGAGAACGGGTGATAAGCTTTCAGCAGTCATACTAGGTGAGTCTGCGGGGAAGAACAACAGAAATATCCTCCCCATGTAGAAACAGAAACTATTTAAAAGTGAACCAGAAAGTCTAAAGTAAAACAGAAAGATGATGGAGACCCAGGGAGACAGAGCAAGTAATTCTACAGTCTGAGAGTTTCAGCGCATCCACACGTCACCAGGCACCCAGGTCTTGCTTGTTACAAGGCAGAGATGAATATATTATGAAATGGACCACAGGGACAAATACTTAGGTTTTCTTTTCTTTTTTCTCTTTTCAGGTTAGGTGTTACTCTCTTGGTTGTTCTGTAAAGAGCAGCTCTGGGCAACAGGTAACAAAAATGGGAACCTTTACCATGATCAGGTCAGACCTCAAAAGTTATACTTACCAAATTGCTTCTTGATCACTTTTATGTTCTCTGTTTCCTATTTCACTAGTCCAACACCTATAAAGCAGTGTCTACTGTTCTAAAGTGAACAGAATGAGATGCCTTTCTCTTGACTCATGACAGGCTGGCCAACTGAATGCTAGCTAGTGACAGGGAACATAAGGGCTAGGAAAGAGCGCCGGTAAGGACCTGTGAAGGATGGAGGGAAACAACAGATGCTCTGTCTTTTCACCACGAACTAGCACAAGATTTGTAGTGACTGAACGGCGTTAGAAAGGGAACTAAATGATCCTTCCAAAGAACGTTATGAATTGAAAGCATTCATCATTCACTTAGAATCATATTAACACTCACAATTTTCTGAGAATATCCCACCAGCTGGATTTTACTGAGGGCAGAGTTCACCTCTTGCATTGTATAGCATCTTCTCCAGGTTGATACTTCCACTGCATCCTTGAGAGGAGAGGGCAGCAGCCTGTAAATGCATCCCAGTGTCAGTTCCTATGTAAGGAGGGCCCTGTTCAAGTAATTTGTCCATTTTATGTAAGTTGTCCAACTTACTGGCATATCCCACTGTTCACAGGATTCCTTTAATAATTGTTTTTATTTCTGTAAGGTTGGTAGAACTCTCCCTCTTTCATTTCTGATTCTAAAAATTGGAGTACTCTCTCCTTTTTTCTTGGTCAATATAGCTAAAGGTTGGTCAGTTTTGTGGATCTTTTTTAAGAATTAACTTTTGGTTTCATTGATTTTTCTTTATTATTTTCCTATTCTCTGTTTTGCTCACCCAGCATATAGCTGGATCTTGTTTTTGTTTTGTTTTGCTTAAAAAAAAACAGTAAAAATTGATAATCTCTGTCATCTGATAGGGTTGCTTAAGCCATTCACATTTAATGTCATTACTGATGTAGTTGGCTTCTGTCTGCCAATTTAGCTTTTGTCTCCTATACATCTCATGCCTTTTTTGTCCCTCTATTCCTCCTTGACTATTTTTTTTAAAACAGTAAGTAAATACTTTCTATGATGTAGCCCCTTAATTTCTTTCTTGATTTTTCACTTTTTGAAGAAGTTATTTCCTAAATGGTTATTCTAAGGCTTATTACATACATCTTAACAGAGAGTATTTCTGTGTGGCATCTCATATCCTCTTCCCTGTTTGCAAAAGATAAATGAAATAAACATCACTCATGGGCCTGCCAAGCTACAGAAAAGATGGGGGGAGGTATAAATTACGAGTTTGGGATGAGCAGGTACAAATTACCATGTATAAAATAGATTAACAAGGTCCCACTGTATAGTACAGGGAACTACATTCAGTATCTTGTAAAAACCTATAATGAAAAAGAATATGGAAAGGAACATATATATGTATAATTGAATCATTATGCTGTACACCAGAAACTAACACAACATTGTAAATCAACTATACTTCAATAAAAAACAAACAAAAATACATCCTTAGAAAAACATTTAATCACTTGCTCAAACAATCTAGAACAGGCCTGAAGAATGACTTCCAGGAGGCTCTGTACAATATAGGTGAAGGGACTTCTGGAGAACTGGACACACGCGCTGGTCTCTCCCCTGAACTATCATTGAGAAGTGTAAAAGGCTTGACGCACATGCACACACAAATACACATATACCCCGCTCCAGACAAAGAGATGGGAGAAGAGACAAGAGCACCAGCATTTCAGAAAGTGGGAAGCAAAAAGACAAATGATGACTGATTAGCTGACCCAGGAAAGTTCAATTCAAGGAACTTAATTTACACTGCAGAGCCCAGGGAGGGAGGGTATAGCTCAGTGGTAGAGTGCATGCCTGGCATGCACGAAGTCCTGGGTTCAATCCCCAGTACCGCCTCTAAATAAATAGACAAACAAAATTTAAAAAATCTTTACGGCAGAACCCATAAAAAGCTCAGCAACTGGAAACAACAGGGCATCTCTGGAAGTGAGGTTGAAGGTGGGCCTAAAAACAAGAAAATTTGTAGAGAAAACTGATTACAAAATAGAACCTTTCAGTTCTCCTCACCTGTTCCATATAGCCCAGCAATTGCCCCCTCCCCACCCAGGCATGTCACCAGAACCTTTTCTCTGGAGAGAGTAAAAGTGAGAGTCTGGCCTAGGGGGAACCATCGACAGCTGCGGGCAGCTTCCGTAAGCAGAAGTTTCTATACTGAGTGAGCAAATGTTTTCCTCAGAGCAGAACACCATCAGTTAGGCTTATTCCCTGCAGAGTAGGAGACTGGAAGAACCTCCTGTGAAAAATAAGACTAGCACCAAAGAAAAAACTCAGTGAGCCGAGAAGGGGGTCCTTCCCAGCGGAGCCTGAGATACGGGCAGCCTTGTGGGAGACCTCCTAAATTCTGTTTTATTACTAATACATTATAAAGTATTTTGGGCCATGTTCTAGTACAAAGGCAATGCTTCAATATCTCAACTAAGTTTGGGCTCTTCTCAGGTCTTCTCCATGACATTTTTAGAAACTTAAATTGTACAGGACTTTTGCAGAAGGTTCGTCTTCATATCCAATTTAACTTTGATCTTAGCTTTAGTTGCAATGTTGAGAAATTGACCTAGCCTCCTTTTTCCCTCCATGTATCTAAACTGAGGGTAAAATGCTCCCTTCAAAAATTGTTGAGGACTACAGTAAATGAGTAATTATACACATACACACATATGTATATATAACACATACTATTAACATTATGTATCTGTGATAGTCATTGCATATGAATTCCTCCCCGTCACCCTTATGCTTAAATTCTTTGGTTAGCTTATATACTGACTACACTACTTTCACATCTAAAACTGATTGTCATTTCTCTCTATGGAAATGTCTAGAGGTTTCCTTTATCATATAGGTTTGGTGACTATATTTTCATAAACAAAAATTGGGTAAATTTTCCATCAGCTAGACAAAGGAGTTAAATTAGTTAAATTGTTGGCTTTTTCAAAAGAACAAAGCCTCAGTATTCTTGTGTATAAGGTTAGCTTTCAGTTCTTTTCCCTCCTTCCTGGTGTGCACTGGCTCATTTTAACCCAGCCAGTTCCCTTTGAAATCAGGCCATGTCGCCAGGCTTTTGCCCACACTGTTCTCTTTTATCTTGGCATGATCTCCTCCCTCATTCAAACAGTGCTCAACCTGCCAAGCCCAGCCTGAGTCTTGCCACTTGGTATGTAATCTTTGCCTGACGAGCCCCTTGGGTACAGGGACTATGTTTTAAACTTTTGGAGGCATTTTCCTACCAACTTACCATAATGCCAGGTACTTGGCAGTTAATCAAAAATAAGTCTGAAGTTCTCTGAATTTCATATTTACACCCGCAAATTCCTTTTGCTAACACCTTTCTTACTCTTTCGAGATATTCAGTCCCTTTGTCATTACTTCCTTTATCTCCTAACATCTTGTCTAACGTGTAGCTTTCCCTAAAACTCTCCTTACGCTTGAGGCCACAACAGAGAAGCATTTATAGAGCCATTCAAAGCCATTAGGATTATTGGCTGATTAAGGATAAGCCGGATAAGGAAACCCAGTGGGAACTAGTTCCGTTTTTTCTGGCTTTCTAATTTATCAAAGTCAAGTTCTCAGAGTCTAAATGTTTAATGAGTACTTTCTAAAAGATTTCATTGTCTTGTTTTGTTCTTATCACACTTGAGTGCTTAATGAACTTTTTTCCCAGGGCTTGCATCATGCCAGAGACTTGCTGTGTCTCCTTCCATTCTACCAGCACAAGATCATGGGTTTTCATAAAAAAGCAGGACTTTTAGGTCCACAGAGATCACTTACCGCTTATAAATAAAACACTGGTTGGGCTTTTCCTAAATGTTTGATGAATGAATGACAAAATGAACAAAATAAATATAAGAGCAGAATACAAAGAATAAGGGAAGCAGAAAAGTTTCTTCTCGTTACAGTGAAGTGTGCTTAATACACACGTGGATGGGGTGGGCTGGAGACGTGTGATGATATACATGGAATTTACCAAAAGCAAAGCCTGAAAATCAAGCATTTCTCAGTACCAACATGAAGCCAGATTATAATCCCTGATTTTTGTTCTAGATCAATTTATCTCTTTAAAGGATAAAGGCAATTGCTCAGGCCACCACAGTGTGATAGAAACGATTCTTGAGAGTACCTAAACTATCTCTGCTTTAATTCCATGCTCATCAAAAACTTCTTATTATTTTGATCTCTTTATGTGGACTTGCTGCCCAGGACAAAGTCCTGTTCAGATGAACCTTCTAGTTCTGGAGCCAGGCCGATAGCTCAGTATAAAGCAATGTAATGGTATTTCTGTCTGTCAGTCAGTATCCTGGGAGCTTAGTTAGCCCACATCAGCCCCTCAGAGGCTGATCAGCTCCAAGTGAAATGAAATGGTTAAGCTCCTGAAGAACAAAGTCGTGATGGCTCCGTCCAAGTATGGCCACTCTCTGAGCCCCTGCTTGGACATCTTTAAAAAGTATGACATGAGTGAACTTAGAGATAGTTCAACTCAATTCTCCTATTTTACAGGAAAGAAGACTGAGTCCCAGAGTCCGAATGACATTGCCAACTAACTAGAAGCAACAGTGGGATAAGAAACATACACCACTTCACTTTCATCAGGAAAGGTAGCGTCAAAAGATAAATCAGGCTGTGGAAGGCAGCCGTGTGCTGGTTACTGAAAGGGGGTTATGTGAACCAAGTGTATTATTCAAGGAAGAAAGAATGCTGGTGCTTACTGGGCACCCACTAGGTGCCTGACACCGTTTTAAGGACTTTACTTGTATTATTCATTTAGTCCTCACAACAACCTTGTGAAGTTGCTAATATTATTCCTGTTTTATAAACGAGGTAACAGTACCTAGAAGAAATAAATTGCTGCAACTACTTAGAAGCAGATCTCAAATTCAAGCACCAGTCTATTTGACCTTCAAGTCCACAGCTTTAATTTTTTTCCTACTACATAGTTAGACCTGATAAATTCGTCTATAAATACCCAAGGAGTGTCAGAGCAGAGGAACTTCAAGTACAATATGCTTTTTTTTTCTTTTATGTCCTCTGTAAGTTATAAACCCACATTTTAAGCTCTGAGTACTGAAAATTGCTGTAACATTTCAGCCAGGAATATATATCAATCTAATTCCTTAAAGCTTGTCAGAAGATTATGACAGTATCCTATAATGATTTATTCTTAATTATAATTGTAGATTCTTAAGTTTTATACACAAAAATACTAGCCTTATTCAAAAAATACCAGAGGCTGGGTTAATTTCTTCAGTGGAATACTGTGCTTTAAATTTCCCCATTAAACACCTAAACTTGGAAGTACGTATGGGAAAGTCAGAGACTCAAAAATTATATTGTAAGGGATTCTCCTTTTCCTACCCTTCAAGATCTTTCTCAAGAACTGTAAGCTACAATGTCAAAATGAGGAAGAAGGATGGTTACCTTCCAAATAAATTTCAAGGCATGGTGTCAACTGAGGCAGGGAGTCAGACAGCTGCCAAGAAGCAAGAATAATAGATTTTTTTGGTTTACATACTACTACTAAATCAAATGCTAATTCAAATTAACTTCTTCTGATTTAAGGGACTCTGTCAGAAACCAATGAATCTGGAAGATTTTAATTCATTGTTTATTTACTTGATGGTCTTATTAGTAACTTAAGCTACTAAGATGCATTAATTCTAGATACTTAACCAAGAGACTGCCTGTATAAGGTTCAAGGGTAAGTCAAACACTAGGGACTCAGAGGAAGAGGGTGGGAAGGGATAGATTGGGAGTTCGAGATTCGCAGATACTAACTAATATATATATAAAATAGATAAACAACAAGTTTATAATGTACAGCACAGGGAACCATGTTCAATGTCTTGTAGTAACTTACGGTGAAAAAGAATATGAAAACGAATATATGTATGTTCCTATATGACTGAAGTATTGTGCTGTACACCAGAAATTGACACTACCTTGTAAACAGACTACTTCAATAAAAATGTATTAAAAAAAAAACCAAAACCAAAAACAAAATGGGAGCTCAAATCCAATTCATGGAGGTGTTTTGCTTGGACCACAGAATTTTATTTTAATGTGAGATTCAACATTTAAAAAGATGAACAAAAGATCACATTTAAAACATTCAGATCTTGAGCTTATTTAGAAAAAAAAGATTTGGCAGCCATGGGCTCACCTTCCCATGTGGCCACAATCTGCTGAAGCTGTCAACTGTCCCTTTAGAGGGGTGTGGTCACTGGGCCACAGCTCCTGGCAGCCCCCCTCCCTCCTGTGCTCACCTTCCCCACCCCTACAGACATCTGAGTTTGTGACTCCGACTTTATAGGAACTGGACAAGGAAAGCACAGGAACTTTTTTTTTTTTAAATAAAGAAGACATAGTCCATATCACTTAGTCAATGTACTAGGCAGCAAAATACAAAACAAAACAAAAAAACCCCACTACTTCTCAATATGGTAAGTCACGGTATTTTCGGACACCTGATATCAACTGGCCTCATAACAGCGGAAACTTTTAAAGTGGTCTAAGTCCTTCAGCGTAAATATTGTTTAAATGAAGCATGGTACTATTCTGGGCCAAGACTAAATTCTAGGCGACTGTTTCAAAAGACCTCTTGTCTGCTGTCAATTACAAAATAGCTCTTCATGTACACACAGGGAAATACATACAAGATCTTGTGGTAGCTCACAGTGAAAAAAATGTGACAATGAATATATGTATGTTCATGTATAACTGAAAAATTGTGCTCTACACTGGAATTTGACACAACATTGAAAATGACTATAACTCAATTAAAAAATGTTAAGAAAAAAAAGCTCTTCAAATTTTTCTACCACTTCTAATATTTAAGCTAAATTTATTCAAGATAAAAAGAGGACAGTTTCTCTGCCTCTTTAATACCTCAGCATATTCTTTCCAATAATTAGACTCTTCTTTTTATCAGTAACTATATGAGGTTCACCTCACACTCTAAAGCCAAATCAAAATATTTTACCAGGATCAGAAATACGGTCATGATATATGAATCCTCTATCAAGTTAGCTCTCAACAGTTCCTGATTTTTGCCCAGCAGGTGGCGAGATAGCAAATTTAAGATTTCATGTCAACTAGCACCTTTTTTAGAAAGGGCGATTTCCTGAGTATCTTCGGAAATAACTTTCAGGCCCCCTCCCTTAGCCCTCTGCTCCTTCAAGCTCAATTTGCCCTCCTCCCTAATATATGATGGTACTCCCTTTGTTGGCCAGTCATTTTACAAAGAATGGGAAGCAAAAAGAACTGCCAAGGACTCTGCCCAAGGTCACAGAAAAAAAAGGCAAAATAAGGACTTGGACTTCCTAAGACTTGGCCCAGGGAGTCAGGAAACAGTGATCTCTGAACATCATTTCTAGTGTGCCAAGATTATTTGTGGCAGAATATTTAAGGGTATAAATTAAAAAGGAGGAAGTGAGGGAAGCCAAGGCGTGCGTGTCCCACAGGGAAAGAAAACAAAGTCCTCAGGTTTCTAAAGAGGGAGATGTAGAGAAGTGGGTCGAACGTGGTCCAGTGGGCACATGGGGGAGAGGAAGGAAAGGGGAGGGGGTGTGCAACGGGCAGGGGGAGAGGAGCTGAGAGTAAGAACGCACAGTGCGGAGGGGAGGGGGCCCTGTACTAGGCGGGCGGCCGGGCAGGTCACGGAAACCATTCATGAGCACACAGACAACTCAGACACGTGCGTGTCCTGAAGGGGATTCCTGATCAGAAGCCGGACGGACACTAAATCCCCATCAAGGAAACAGAGACAAAAAGAAGATCCATAAAATACAGGAGAAAACACACACAGTTAAACGTACTTGTCCTCCCCTCACGTGAGAGGGGCTCACAGGCGGGTGAGAAGAGGCCTGTACGTGGCCCAGAGGCGGCCCAGCCCAGGGGTTAAGGGCGCCGACTCTGCAACCAGCCTAGCCCAGCTGCCTGGGTTTGAATCCAAATCCTACTGCTCACTAGCTGGCTGACCCTGAGTAAGTTACTCAACCTCTCTGGGCCTGTTCTCTCTTCTGTAAAAATGATAATAATGTTAAAGAAGTAAATTAAATAAAACACTGAGAAGAGTGTCTGGCACAGAGCAAGTGCTATGTAAGTTAAATAGAGCAAGTAACACGTATACAAAGGAGTGTGCAGAGGAGACTCCTGTGCTCAAACCCTGCAGCAGTTACGGTACGAAAACAAAGCATCTTTTCCTAGATACATACACAGATTCTTGTAGAAAGAACATCCACAAAACTCAGACATTCTGAAATTTACATAACCAGATGGCTACCCAAGCAGGATCTACAGGGATAGAGAACTCGGTGGCGAGGGAGCTGGAGAAGACTGGACTTGGGGAGGCGTGCACACCACACACGCTACCTAAGAAGCCGCAGACGAGCTTGGACTCCGGGCTCCGGATGCCAGGCCGTCGGCCGGGCTGTGGTGGCGGGGGCTGAGGGCAGCAGCTGGGAGGGCTGGACCAGTGTGCTAAGACCCCTGGTGTCCTCCGCTGCCCATGTAACAGGAGGGCAGCGGACACAGAGCCGAGCTGCCTCCCCGCCTCCTCTACTGCATTTCCCCTCGCGTCGCCTCTTCACTCTCCTGCTGCCGCCTTAGTTCAGGCCTCCGCTCCCTCGGGTCGCCTGGGTTTCTGGATCGGCTCTGCCGCTGGACCTCCTGCCCCCACCTCTGCACTCCCATCATCCTCCACGCTGCTCCCAGGGTCAGTCCCCCTGAACAAACACGTGTTCATGTCATTCTCCTCCTTTTCAGCCTCCCCTGATGGACTTCCCATTCTCAATAATACAAAATTCAAACTTGACACAGTGGATGCTTCGTTATCTTGCTCCAACGTCCCCATGTCGTTTCGTCTTTCACCTCTCTTCTCAACCAGTTCTAATCCACCCTGAACTTCTCACTGTTCCCTGAATATCCTGTATCCTCTGATGCTGTGCCCGGACCCCACTTTATGACCTTTTCTATCAGGAGAAGTCCTGTTCTTCCTCCAAGACCCACCTTAACTGTCCTCTCCTATGGAATGTCCCCCTCAGTTCCCTCAGCAGAGAAAGTTCTTCATTTTCTGAGTGCCCACCACAGCGTGACCAAGTGTCTGGAACAATGCACGCCACCCAGGACTGTCATTTACCTGTCTAGGTGTCTGAGCTCCCATCAACCCCTTGGTGCCTCAAAGAGAGAGCCAACTGTTCTACTAATTTTTGAAAACTCCCAGACCCACTGTAGTACCTTGCATACCTCTCAAAATATATTGGTTGAATCAAACATAACCCTTCCATAAAATCGGGAAAAGAGACTTAGTTCTAACAGCTTAAGCAGAAGATGAGAAAACAACTGAGCCCGCTTTGCAGCGTCTACAGCTTTGCCGTCAAGGCGGGTAGACCGGCCTCCACTCACCGCTGAGTGTCCTTGTTCTTCCACAAGGAGGCAGACTGCGCCTTGGGCACTCGTTCAATGAAGTTCACCAGCTCTTCCATGAGGAGCCTGAGTTTAAACAAAGAAGTAATGAACACTCAGCAAAGAATTTGAAAGACATGGCACGCTAACGCTGCAGCCAAGGGAGATGGGCTTGTCTGTGTTCCCCTTCCCAGTCACCTTTCTTTCTGTTGCATATAAACTGGGGCACAGTTTTACATTAAGCTGAACAAAAACCCAGCCTTCTCATTGAATTTCCATGTTAAAAATTCTGAATGTAAATGATTTAATTCGCGTTTAAAATAAGCCTGGAGTGTTTCTTGTCTCTACACACTGAAACATATAAGCCTGTGGTTTCACCCTCACTCTTAAAATCTCTGCCTTTTTTTAATGTGATTAAAAATACAAAAGGAAAAAAGCTAAATGAGTATGAAGTACCGGATACTGGTGGCAGCAAAAGTGGGAGTAGAGTTTTTTTTTTACTGACAATGTTATATATTAAGTGGACATTTTAAACTAGCAAAGTAAGTTTTCTTTTTTAAAAAATATTTTACTTATTTATTTTAACGGCGGTACTGCGGACTGAACCCAGGACCTTGTGCATGCTAGGCACCCACTCTACGTCTGAGCTATATACCCTATTTCCAAAATAAGTTTTCTTGATGTGTTTTAGGAATTAACAAAATTCCACATGGACGAATACCCTAAGGACTAATTCTAAAAATCTAACTCAAGGACCTGCAAAAGGACAGGCTCTGTAGATCACAAGACGGATTACCGCAGATTCACAACTGAGGGAATCTAAGAAATGCCTCTCTTGACAGGCTTAATGACCCACGTGCTCTGAGGGACACATGGAACATAGCACTGCTAGGGCCCTGGATGGCTGGAGAATGACCAGAAAGCTAGAAATAGATTTTCAACATCTTGAATGTCCTACACAGTCCAGTACAGATGCTCCCCACTGACTTAAATCCTCTCCCAATAAACATATAGACATGGAAAGCCACAAATTTATTAGCATTTGAAAGCTGAACAACTTCATTTCACATCCATCTATTTTACTTCTTCTTCTTCCATCCTGAAGGAGCAGCACCAGCTCCAGCACTGTAAGAGCCGGGATCCAGGCTTATCACTGCTCTGGCTGTAGCTTTCAGAACAGTCTGGTAGGTCCATCCTCACACTGCACATTTTTCAGCCTAGAATCTAGTATTTCCAGCTTTCTCTCTCATTGAAAATGCCCCATCACCTTGAGTGTTCTGCTTTCCTACAATGCTCTTCCTCAGATCCTTTGTGTTTTTCTGTGCATACTGCAGGTAATAATATGGTTTGACACAAAAAAGGACATATTTTGTTTCATTTCTAGTAATTCCATCTTGTTGGAATTTAGTAAGACACTAGAACTCAAAGCTAAGCATCTATATCGACACTTGGATCCCATATTTTGGGTCCCGACAGTTTTTACTTTACACCATACTTGCTAGTTTGCTTCAACACAGTTCTATTTTTCTGGGGTAATTTTCTTCATGTAATTTTTTTTCTCACTAAATGATGCTACAGTTAGTTGAAACAACCATCTGTACCATGGGGGCTTGGGAGGGGCAGAGGAAGAGACGGCGCAGCCCTCTCCAGGTCAAAGGCAGACTCAAGGTTTTACTCCATAAAGTCCTGAGTTTCACTCTGTCAACAGTACAGACAACTTATCTAATTACTTTTCCTGTTTTCTACAAGCTGTCTCCATTCACAGTCTGCACTAAATCACAGAAGGGGGGAAATTCTGAAAGTGAAGCTGTAAAATTTCTTCTTCTCTCCTTTTCTTAAATATGTGATGATCCTTTCTCCCCTGAAGCTCTCTGCATTGCATCTTAGTGGCATCTTACTGAAGGTACCTCCCCTAATTAGTATCATCTGCACAGAGGAGCTGTCTCTGCCAACTCCTTCTTCCCGTTTTTTAAGAAAGACTTAACGACTACTCTTCGCAGCATCAATCTCTAAGCAACTCCAGGGAACATTTGTTTCACAGATAGAGTTGTCTATTCAGGCCTGCTCTTTGAGTCAGCTGCTCAGAAGGAAATAACAATCCCTTCTGGCACAACACTCTATTAAAACAGTCACCACTGCAGGAAGGAGCTCTCAGCCCCTGTCTGACGACACAGAACAAATGCTCTCACCTGCCGATCTGAACGGTGGGCTCCGTGGCGTACACCGTGCCCGTGAAGCCGGTGTGCTCCGTGATGTAGGGCAGAGCCATCATGCAGTGGTAGTTAGAGATGAGGATCACATCTACCGTAGACAGATCTATTAGCTCGGTCTGAAAAGAAAGGGGAGGGAATGATACATGTCTGTTCGGGACACATAGATCGGCATGAAGTGCCTGAAAAATGATGCTTTCAGAATGCAGAGGAGTTGCTGCGGTACCCTGGCGTAATGATGCCTTTCCCACAACACTTCTCATTTTAGGATATTTCCTAATGTTGACGTTAAGCAGCAGGACACGGTGACTACTGATGAGCCTGTTCCCCAGGAGTGCTCTGATTTTACTAAAACAAGAGTTCTGAGTTAGATATGCGAGGATAAATGATAACAGGATACTCCAGCAGCCGCTGCCTGGCAACTGGAACCAGGTAACGTGGTTCTACTTGTTCTTTTTTTTTTTTAAATTTTTTTGGGGTGGGGGCATAATTAGGTTTATTTATTTTTAGAGGAGGTACTGGGAATTGAACCCAGGACCTCATGCATGCTAAGCATGCACTCTACCACTGAGCTGTACCCTCCCCCGCTCTACCTGTCTTTTAAGGCTCAATTCTCTTCTTCCACTAAGCCTTCCCGATTTGTCCAGATGGAAGACACTGCTTCTTCCTCAGAACTGTCCAGGCACTTTATAATATCCCTCTTATGGTAGTTACTATTCTGCACAATGGCACCTCAAAGTTTCACAAGGTATTTTGGGGGGAGGGTATACCTCAAGTAGTACAGCACATGCTTAGCATGCTGAGGCCCCAGGTTCAATCCCCAGCACTTCCTCCAAAAATAAATAAATGAATAAACCTAATTACTTCCCCCCTCAAAATTAAAAAAAATTATTTTGTCTCTCAAAAATTAAATGTCTCTGAGCTCAAGAATCCTGTGTGACTCATCTGTGTCCCCTCACAGCTGAGGCAGCCAGGACACAGCAGGCCGCGGTGCACTGGTATTGGAGGAATGTGTTGTTACACGCGGCGCCCTCTGCAGAGAAAAGTGAGGCGCTGTGGTTCAGAGACATCACCTCTGTCACTGAGTTTTTCCTCCCGCAAGTTACCCCGCAGGAACTGTACGGTGCAGCACAGACACCATGGGGGTAACTCACCGAGTGTTTTATTTAGGAGAACGGAGCACAGAGGTACTATGTCCCCTACCTAGAGGAAGTAACAAAGATGTATGTGCCATCTTTGCAAATGACAGAGACAGCGTGCCACTCTGGCTGTGGGCATTTGCTGGTTGAATGACTTTATGTGTAAAGAAAGTTAATTTAATAAAGCCGCCAAGGCGTAATGAGCCCCTGAGGACAGTATGGAGATTAGAGGTCAGAATCCCCTCACCGCCAGGGCAGCGGCAATCTGTGTGACTAAAACGTCTAATGACAATAATAGCCAATCGATGTCACCCTTAGCTCTGCATTGTGCACTGCACTTCCAAGATAACATCCTCGCATGACGAAGGGTCGTGGACTATTCTGCTGGTCCTATTCCCCACCACCTCTCTAGAACCATTTTTACAGAAATGAGAAAACTAAGACAGAGTAGCAGAGTGACAGGTCCAGAAAGGAGCAAGGGGAGGAAAGTGAAGCTACAGTAAAGTTCAAAGCATCCCCACTTTCCTTCTACCTAGATAGAAACTGGGGATATTTGAAATTTCTCTTTAATATTTAAGAATCAGCCCACAGAGTCTAGAATGATAACAAATTTGGTGAGGACAGCTGGAAAAAAAATATATATATTCTGCATGTATATACCTCAAGTGCCTACCTAAACAATTTTCCTCTGAGAAGTAAATTTAACATCCAAACTATGTTTACAGATTCACACTTATATATTTACTTATATACTTTCACTCAATGAAATCCAATAGAGATTATTTTTAATTTTAAACTTTTTGTGTACAGACACTTGGGTTCTACAGAGCATGAGTTGTGTCAAAAATAACCATAATTTATTGGCTATTACTATACCGTCCTAGACATGAGACACGGTCTACGGGACGGACTCTGGGGGAACACAGATACAAAGACAGGTAAGGTAGTTGCATTAGATTACAAATTCCATGAGGACTGGGATGTTAGTCCTGCCTGGCTCACCCGCCAGTCAGCCAAGACTGGACTGTGTTGTTAGCCCTTCTCTCCTGATTCTGCGTCCCCTGTTTCATCCTGGTCATGCAATGCCCTGGTTTACCTTGAAACAGTGACTATTACTAACTTGTCAGACACCACAAGTTAAAAGGCAAGTGGAAACAATTTATATAGCTCTAGAACCCTACATATATTAGCGATGCTTCAGCTTGGCAAAGATGAACTGTGAATTGTCTAATTTCAACGTTTAGCACTCTATGGGGCAAGTCAGAAAGTCACTGGAAAACCAAGCAACGAGTCCTACACTGTTGGCCATAAACTGAAGGCTGCAGCAGTGAGTGTCAGAGGCAGTAAACTGAAAATAAATGTAGCAATTGGGAGCAGGAATCTTTGAACAGATAGGGAGCTGCCCCACCAACTCCTAAATGACAAGTGAAGATGACAAAAAGATTTTATTAGCAAGTTTGGGGGAGCTCAGGATTTCGGTAACTGTCTACTTTCACCCGTGTTCTTCCTACGTTACCTCAAACTTTCTCCCTTATCTGTCAACTTTAATTACTATGTCCTTCTTTGTTTTTCTTCCTCTCTTTCACTCTGGTATCCTGCAAGGGCACACAGACATATGTCAAAGACAGAAAAAAGTTTATCTCAAGGGTATCAAAGGAAGTTGGAGAAACAGAAAGAGAGAGAGGAAGAAAGGACAAAAATAAGGGGCCTGGCATTCCCAGTTTCTTTTCTCGCTGGCACTGAATCATGAACATATTTTCAACAGCCACTGAAATCCCCTGCGCGCACGGGAAGAACAGAATGGTAGCTTCTTATTGATTTCCTCAGGAACCCCGGACTGGCTACTCACTGGCTCTCCTACGCGTCATCTGTGTGCTGAGAACTCCATCTAGGCCACTTTGGGGATGAGGCTTGTCAGTTGAGATTAGTCTCCTTTAAAACTAATGGAGGCTGATCTTTGTTTCCTTTAAAACAATGGAACTGGACCCAAACACTTACAACAGGTCTCACTGTGATAATGATATGTAAGTGACAGATATCCATCACTCAGGTCAGAATCCATGAATTTCAAGCAATAGTCCATATAGTATTTCAAGTCAGCAAGAATTTTTGTAGCTTACTGCATTGAATAATGCAGTATTCATTATTCAGCCAATTCCCAATTTCCCACAACTAGGAAAAGTATGGCTAACCCAGGACAGGCATTATCCAGGTGGCCCTCTGTATTCATGGATGTGAAATGTGCAGATATGAAGGGCCAACTTTACTCATTTTATATAAGGGACTTGAGCATCCAGGGATTTTGAATCCATGGGGGCTCCTGGAACCAATCCCCCGCAGATACCGAGGGATGACTGTAATCACAAAACTAAAAGGCTTGAGTTATTCCTTCACTTTGCTCAAAACTATGCCCACGGTATGAGTGTCAGTGGGGATTATGGAAAGAGCTAGGAATAGGAAGAAGAGAATGACTTCAGTGATTTACAGACAATATAAAAAGCTCCGAAATCATCATATTTTAGCTGTACAATTAAAAGTACCTGGAATAACAGATTGATTTCAATTTGAAAATCGGAAGATAAGCCCCTTAAAATTATTTCTTGGCTTCAATTTGAGAGATGACGAGGTATGCTTTGTTTCCACAGTAAAATTCACTTTAATCTTACCTCTGGTAGGCAGAATTCGGGCACAGAATCCACAAATACATGACCAGAGCATTCCTTTAGCTCCTAAAAGACACGAAAACATTCTAGGAAGAGATATCTGATACAGCACCAAAGAAATTTCATCCCCAAACCAAACTTTCCACGAGGTATCTACTATCTCCAACTGCTCGAGTTCCTTAGAGTTTAGGGGCAGGAAGGCTAAATGTATTTATTCAGGATAGAAAAAATGCTGGTAGGTGGCTGACTCAGACTTGAATGCACATTTCCTGATGCCTCTTTGAGGAAGCCATGTGTAGACAGGACACACGCTACTTCCATAACTCATGATCCAGTGCTTCCCAAGTAAGTTACACAGACCACGCCAGCAGTATCAGAATGAGCTGGGGACACTGATGGAAGCAGATTCCTGGGCCCCAACTCAGACCTAAGGGATCCGAAACTCTAAGGGTGAGTCCAGGGAACCTGTATTTATAACAAGCACCTCCAGTGATTCTGTTCCGCAATTAGGTTAGGAGCCCCGGCCTCAGACAAATCACTAAGAGCCCCTTTCTCCTCCTGCCAAAGGTTGCGGGGCAAGTAAGGAGAAAAATGCAGAGTAGTGGGTAGGAGTTAAACCACCATCACCATATTCCAAAGGGAAAACGGTGTACTTATAAAGAAAGAGAAATAATGCAAAGGCCCCCTCCATGACCCACTGTATTTACTATGCCGGTCTCAGTTTGGATTCTTTTCACAAGCAGACCCTGAGCAAAGGGCGTGTGCAAGCTTGTAAGTGAGGTGCTAAACAAACACCAGGAGGAAGGGCAAGTACAAAGGGGAGAAAAGGTGGCCGATAATGGATGTTACTGAGCTACATACCACTGTGGGCAAGAGGGACTCACTCTCACGGGGAAACTCAGAGAAATGGTACCATACATACACCTTGGAGTTATTCCACCCAGGGGCAAAGGACCTGGGGTATTTACACAGCAAATCCTGCATTTGGAGCAGCTTCAGGAAAAAGCTGTTAGGCAAAGCCATACAGGAATTGGCAGCTGGAATTATGACGGAGGACACTGAAGAGACAGAGGGGCCACCAACAATTCCCCCAGGAGGCCACTCGAGTTGCTGTCTTCCCTTGATGACACTTTATACTGAAATCTATGCAGGAGTTTTTGCTCCAAAGTTAAAGCTATCTATGACTCTGTAACAACCAGGAAAAGACAGAATTCAGTTGACAGTCTGCTCTTTCCAGAAAGAGAAAAATACTGTGAAATTTTTGCTCCAGCATGTTTTCATTAGTCACTGAACATGAATTTCTATATATTCACATTTATGTATCTGTATTTATACATCAGAGTCTGAATAATTTGACTCTCAATCTCTATTTGAAAATGGGGTGTTAACTTGTGTTATTTTCCTTTTGATTTTACAAGTCTCATATCAGGACCTGGATTAGAATATTTCCTCCCCTCGTTTTCCACTGGAAACTCTGGTTGCTCCTTATACAACTACCATTTAACCAGTGAGAGGCTGAGCCAAAAACAGACTGAAAACCATTCTTAATTACAACGTACCTGCCAGCTAAAAACAAATGAGCAATTACGTTTAATGGAAGAAGACTCCCAACTCCCTTAGGATGAAGTTAAAAATGATTAAAGACAAATCCTGGGAAATTTTAAAGCTCTGTCTGGTCTTAAATTGGCTACGTAATCTTCTTCCCCTTACTGCTGCCTATCAGGGTGCGTCCACCTCAGGTGACAAAGCTGCATCCTTCCTGGCCCGGAGCAGTGTATTTGCCATTCCACGCACCTACAATGTCACTGTATTTTATTCACTGCTCCCTCCTAATGAAATGCTACCACATACACATGCAAGTCATTTCGCTCACAATGCACGGGTAATGGGATGCTTCTGAGCCTTTCCCCGGGAACAATGATTTACAGCCCGCAGGAGAGTCAGGCTGAAATCAGGTGCACAGATTCTTGAATGTCACATAATTTTACAGTTAGTTATGAGGGAAATCTGGCTTCAAATCATGCATCTGGCTTCCACTTTACATTGGGGTGTAGGAACAGGAATTAATTCTGTAAAAAGAGCATCTCTTTATTTAACAATATCTATTATAAGAAGGAAATGCCCTATTCAGATGAATCATTTTAAGGACCTTTATACACTTATGCAGTCTTTCAATTGTGAACCTTGGGAGAGGAAGAATGATTTAGAGGTCTAAGAATGGCATGGATAAGCTTTACAGTTTTTAATCTTCCTTTACCTGACTTTTTTTCAGTAGAAAACTTTGACTAGATTACAGTTTTAACTTTTTTGTGTGTGTCTTTGGTCTTTCGTATATGGGTTAACTGCCTAAAAACTGATCAGAGGAAGGAATTACTGGGAAGATACTCCAATGTCAAAAATTTAATAGCCCTGTAAAGAGAAAAAGTAATTTGAGTCATTTCCTACTTTAGGCCTAGTTAGTGATCAAAGTCATACTAGGACCCCAAATCCTAGATTCCTAGAACTGTGTTCTTTCCCCACAACCTGTAAGAGTGCCCGTTCTAGGCTACCAGGAAAGACTGGAACAGGGTCACAGGTCATAGTCTGGACAGCCCTTTGTTCACATGTACCTAAAAACATGTCTCCCTCCTGCTCCCTCAAGAACACACTACCCAGAAGTTAAACACCTGGCTTCTCAGTCTATTCTCCACATGGTCGCCAAAGTGGTCTGATCAGAGGATGACACTGCCCTCCTTACATCACCCGAAGAATAAGACCCAAATTTTTTTTTACAAAGCCCTATCTGATTTGACCCCTGACAGAAGCAGTTTAAAACTCACAATACTTGAGGGTTTTAAAGTTATTAAAAAAAAAGTTTACTCCTTACAGGTGGAGAGTAGTATAGCCTCAAAATGAAATGAGCTGGATGGAATTCTCTAACAAGCATCACCTTTGAAACTTACTCCAGTTCTAAAAATAATAGTTTTCTTTTTGCGGTGATAAAATATATTTGCAGCAGAAGTTCTTAGATTTTACACATGAGAAATGGGATCTGTATCTGAACACTGAGATTCCCTAAAAGGCTCTTAAAAACAATAATCACCAAGTTCTAAAGACTACATGGGTCGTGGGCTTTTTCAGGGAGAAGACACAGGGGAAAAAATGAGCCCATAAGTCACACTGCTGCAGGCTGGTTCCGCTGTGACAAGATGGCTTTCACTGGGCATAGATACACTTTAGCTAATCATTACCTTGTCCAAGAAGGCATTTCCATCCTTGAGGGACCAGCCAGGAAGATTAGACAGCCTGGGACTGCAAAACAAAAGATTAAATTATCCTAAATAGATTATAATCCTCAGTGATTTCATGGTGACTGTACTGGCTGCATAAAACGAAAAACAGTTTGAAATTACTGGCAGCAATGTTCACCCAAATTACTAATCAAAAAGATGAAAAATAACCACGTGGCATCAAGCTGAAGAATTATGTGGCAATGGAACACTAAAAAGCTAAACAGTTTTGTGCTAAACTAGGAAAATTAAAAGAATGCTACGCAGAATAATAAAGAGGAAAAAAAAAGAAAGATGAGACACCAGAGCATCATACAGTTTCCCAATTACTGACCCGACTTCACCTTGCTTGTGTTTGACAACAAGCCTGCAGGGAAGGCTGAATGGGACCATCCTACTGCGGATGAAAAAACAGACTCAGTGGGTCAGGTGCTCTGACAGCCAGAATTCACCACCAATAAAAATATCTGCATTCTGGTCAAGTCCACATTCTGGAACCACTGCTTATAAATGGATTGGTCACTTGTCACCTGCGGCTTGAGTTACCAACTCTGGAAAATGAAGCTAGTTTTCCGTTACAAAATCACACCATTTCTAAGTGAATACTTTGTAGAAGGTGAGGTTAATTGCATGTATTTATTACATTAAAAAAAAGTCTGAATCAGAAATCACTCACTCTGGTAATAACTGTGTGTTAGCAGCTGACGAGAAGTATACTGGAGGCTTTTCGAAAATAACTCAGGAGAAAAAAATGCTAGTAAATGGAAAAACTTAATGACCAAGGGGATACGTGGAGAAAAGCACACAAGGAGTCTAAGCTGGATGGCAAAAGGATTCCAGCACTTCACCGCATTAGTCTGTGAAGCAAAAATTAAGGGCAAAGTATATGGGTGTGGGACTAAAAGGCTCTATTATCAGAAACCAAATTCATGTATAGTCCTTCATCCTCGTGCCAAAATAATTTTATCAAATTCTGACTTCATAACTAGGTGATAGGTATGAGAGAAAAATTAAAACATAAATGTGTGAATACTTGTCAATCTGCTAGGAAAGACTAAAAACCTGAATAAAATATACACGCATCTAATCTCAGAAAAAAGTGAGAATCTGGGGGGCAATTTTTAACTCTGACATGATTCCAAGCTCACAGAAAAGCTGTACGAATGAAAGTACGACGAAGTCCCGTATGCCTTCTGCCTGGATTGTCTGTTCACATTTTGCTTTTGTTAATCAAAAAGCGAGAATTTTGGATTTCATGCTTGAGAATGAAAACTACTACTGGGAGAATCAAATTTGGTTGGCATAAGTTATGCCTGATAAACTTCCCTTTTAAACTCTGGGAGTTTTCTCAGAAAAATATCCTATTATTATCAGCTGTTCAATTTCCATCTCATTTCATAGTCACATATACGCCTTTACTTAGATTTCTTACAAAATATTATTTACTATCAGATCAGATTAAAAAACCAAGCATTGTAATAAAAGTGTAATGACAAGACAATATGAATACTGTTCTCATTTCATGCACACTAACTCTCTATGAGAAGGCTGTAAATATCCACTTCCCTTTACACAGAACTGGATCAAAGGACATGCATCCTGATCCTGTCTGTTTCTCATCGGACACACACAAATCAGCCTTCAAATTCCAGATGACTTATTCAATCAGTTCTGTCCTCAACAAGTGATTAGAAATGGTACTTTTAGCAAAAAATAATTAATTTTTTTAAAGTAAAAATTCCAGGTATTATGGCTTTAACTCCTGCTAAACATTTTTTATAACATCAAAGCCTTTTATGAAATACCTATAGTTA